ATCGGTGGCCGACACGGCATCAATTGCAAGTTGAAGCCGGCGCTGAAGGAGAGGCGAATCATCACCCTGACAGCAAAGGGTAAGATCATCGACATAGAGAGCGGAGAAGACACCAGAAGGAAGAGAGGAAAGAAGACCATTGAGGGCAACCAGAAAAAAGAGTAGTGCTCAGAACACTACCCTGGGGCACACCTTCATATTGCTGAAAAGAGGCAGAGAGAGCGGTACCAAGGCGCACCCGAAAGGAACGACGAGAGAGGAAGCTGCGGAGAAAGAGAGGGAGATGACCACAAAGGCCAAAAGAATGAAGTTGAGATAGGATATGATAACGCCAAGTGGTGTCATAAGCCTTTTCCAGGTCAAAAAGGACGGCAACAACGGAGGTCTTCGAAGCAAAAGCAGTACGAATATAGACCTCCAAGTTCACCAGGACATCTGTCGTGCTGCGGCACTTGCGGAAACCAAATTGAGAAGGGGAGAGGAGGTGATGGTGTTCCAGGAACCACATCAGACGAACGTTAACCATACGTTCAAAGAGTACGTTCAAAGAGTTTGCAGACACAACTTGTGAGAGCAATAGGGCGAAAGTCCTTAGGGGAAGTACCCAGAGACCCCCGGTTTGCGAACAGGGAGGACAACGGCATCGAGCCAGTCCTCAGGGACTGACGACGACTCCCAGATCCGATTATACAGACTCAGTAAATACTGAGACGTGCACGGAGGGAGATGGCGAAGCATCTCATAATGAATACCATCGGAGCCCGCCGCCGTAGAACCGCAGAGGGCCAGGGCAGAACGAAGTTCAAAGAGAGAGAAGGGATCATTATAGGGCAGCTGAAGACGAGTGCAGAAATCTAAAGAACGAGACTCAAGGACAGGTTTACGAAGAAGGAAAGATTGGGGAAGATGAAAACCAGAGATAACAGAAGAAAAGTGGGAACCCAGTAGGAAGCGACCTGCAACGGGTCCGCCACAAGAGTATCATGGAGGTGAAGGACCGGTGAAACATCGGGAACGAACTTACCCGCTATCTTGTGGATATGCTTCCAGATCTGGGGCAGAGGAGTTTCGGACGTAATTGTTGAGACATAAGATGCCCAACATTCACGTTTAGCCGTACGGATGGCCCTACGGGCCACCGCACTCGCTTTCCGAAAGAAAAGAAAAGAATCGGCCGTCTGCCGACGGCGGTGCCTCTTCCAGGCTGCACGCTTACAGCGGACAGCCCGAGCACAGTCTGCATTCCACCAGGGAACGCACTTCCGTGGACCCCGAGAGGAAGAGCGAGGAATAGAGCGGAGGGCAGCGTCGAAGATAGTGTCATGAAAAAGGAGGAGAGTGCGAGAGAGAGGCAGAACGGAGAGGTCAGAGAGAGCAGCACTAAGGGTAAATAGGCTCCAGTCCGCTTTAGCAAACTGCCACCTAGGAAAAGAGAGTGAAGGGCGAAACGAGAAAAAGGAAACAAGGATAGGGAAATAATCACTGCCGTGGAGGTCATCAAGAACCTGCCATGTGAAAACTAAGTAAAGAGAAGAAGAGCAGAGAGAAAGATCAAGACATGAAAGGGTGCGAGTCCGAGAGTCCAAATGAGTGGGCTCACCAGAATTCAGAAGAGACAGGGAAGAAGAGAGGAGAAACGGCTCAAGAAGGCGACCCCGGGTATTCGTCAGAACGTCACCCCAAAGAGAATGACGACAATTGAAGTCACCCAGCAGGAGCACAGGCTCCGGCAAGGAGTCTAGGAGGTGTTTCAAATCAGGAAGAGAAAGCGGGACACTCGGGGAGAGATAAATGGAACAAACTTTGTACCATTTCCCCACAAAGATACGAGCAGCAGAACAATGGAGAGGCAAAGGAAAAAGTAAAGGAAGAAAGGTAACATCAGTGCGAATCAAGAGAGCAGAAGAATTAGGAGCCCCAGCAACGGCTGGTGGGGGGGGGGGGGAGAAAGGAATAGCCACGAAAACGACCAGGACGAGCACCAAGCATCGGCTCCTGGAGACAGACACAAAGGGGCGAAAACAGCAAAATCAGCAGGAAAAATCAGAAAGGGAAGCAGGGGCCAAAGAAACCTCCATAGCAGGAACAGGGGGCGCAATCACTGAAATGGGAGGGGAAGGAGCAACAGAGCCAGAAGTAGGGGCTGAGGAAGAAAGCGAAGCCTTCTTACCTGCTGGGGAGGAGGAAGGAGAGGAGCCAGGCTTACGCTTCTGACTTAAAGAGACCAGTGTCCCAGCAACCACGTACCGGGCAACGGATTCCAGTGTCTCAACAGGAGAAGCTGAACGAGAGCACACACAACGGCCGTTAGGAGAGCGATGGACATCCGCCTGCACCGACAGGCGGTGGGGAGAGCCAATAGATGGAGGAAGAGGAAGGGAAGGAGGATAGGAGGGAGACGAGGAAGAAGACACAGGAGACACGACAGACCGGGTAGAAAGAAGGGGAACCCCAGACAGAGGACCAGGAGGGGGACCCTTTGGGACAGAACTCAAAGGAACAGAGGCAGTGGGTGTATCAGGGTCCAAGGCCCGGAAACGGTTGTGAGTCTGAGGAAGGAGGGGAGGACGAGGAGAGGAAGAGCGCAACACGCAAGCATAAGGCGGGAGCCGGCGAACCTGGCGCATTGCCTCAGGAAAAGATAAACGCTCTCGGTGCTTCAAGTTGAGGACGGCCGCCTCAAGCTTGTAATGGATACAGGCACGGAAGAAGGTAGGATGGGCCTCACCGCAGTTGAGGCAGCGAGCTTGGGGAGAAGTGCACTCCGACTTAGAGTGACCTTCACCCCCACACAAAGGACAGAGAGAGACAGTCCCAGAGCAGCGGAGGGCACCATGCCCAAACCTCCAGCACTTATTACAAAGCCGAGGAGAAGGGATATACTCCTGGACAGAGCACCTAGCACCAGCAAGAATGACAGAGGATGGAAGGGTCCTACCATCAAAGGTGATCTTCACAACACGAAGGGGTTGATGGCGACGACCACGAGTAAATGAGTCAACCTGGAGGACAGAATGGCCTTGGGCATCAAGGATATGCCGAATATCATCGTGGCAATCCTGCAGATTCCGAACACCGGTTGCAACATGGGGCGGGAGGAGAATAGTGCCAACACTGGCATTCATCTGAACGTTCTTCGAGACCCGAACAGGGATCTCGTCAAGGCAAGACAAGGCTGCCAAGCGGAAAGCTGCATCCTGAGAAGGAGCAGCAACGACACGTGTACCAAGACGAGTGGGGTTGAAGGTAACGGACGCATCCACGGAATCAACAAGATGCCGATGGAGGGAGAAATCGTCAGGAGGCGCAGAATCAAGAGGGAGAAGATCAAACTATTTGGCCCATGAAGCGGGACCAAACAAGACCCGATACGCGTCAGTATGGGAAGGAATCGAGCGAGCGCGAACGGCGTTGAGAACCCCTAGAGAGAGAGGGGTCAAAAGGAGCAGTAGTCACAACGAGAGACTTAGCCGCACCAGGGGACGAAGTGGTCACCACTGGGGGCTGGAGGCTCCACCCAACCACAGAGGAGGGAGGGGAGCTGGGGGAAGAAGTCAGGATGGTCAAAGGAGGAGCAAGGTCGGGGCCCAATGCAGCGGAGGCTACAGAGCCCGGTCTTCCAAGACAGGCCGACTCGGGGGCTTGGTCGCCCACCCCCACGAGCCTGAGAGGGTAAAACAGAAGCATTCAACGACATAGGTACGAAGAGTGAAATTCATCCACGAATGTGCCCCCACACCCACCATGGAGCCACAATTAGAGGCAGGACACCCAACAGGAAGCTATCGCCGATCATGCCGGGGCCCCCTAGGGGTGCATCGTGAGTATACGCCCCACAAACGCCACCTTAAGAACCGTCAGTCCGTCGAGATCGGGTTCAGCGATGAAAGGGGGATTGACAATAAAAGGTTCCCCTCGCTCAAGACGTTGGGTACTACAGTTCTATGGGTGCAAGAGTATGCCTCCTCAAGCACCCGGGCGTCAAAATAGAAGAAGTCCAAAGAAATAATCCAAAACAAGCAAAAGGTCGGCAGGAAACGACCAGCAGATAGGAGTAGAGAGGGGAGAAAAACGAAACATAAGGAAAAGGAAAAGCGATCCGGCACAATTAGAGAAGACAGCAGCAGGAGTGCAAGGCCAGAAAAGGACAGAGGACTGTCTCACGGAGCATCACACTCCGGCACCTGTCCACGAAGCCCCCTCACGACGCCAATGGGCCAGATGGGGAGGGGGAATTTACAAGGGAAGAGGCTACTAAAACCAACTAATTTTAATACAAAATATATTAAGTATAACATCTATATTAATATCTATTTCACATTTTCACAAGATTACAGCTTGTGAAAATTGTGGTCACTTAACTTGGCTGACTATACCAAGCCAGGTTACTGCTTGCTAACCACATACCTGGACCATACCAGTCCATAACCCTGGACCCGTATGGTCCACCCGGTATAGTCTTAATCTTCTTAAACCCAGTCCACATAACTTAACCTAACATCCTATCCCTATCTCAGAATTGTCTTAGGTCCGTCCCCAGGTTAATCATCCATCACACACATACACCCCAAAGTAGTTTGACTTACACCATCGAATGAGACTGGCCACCTTGGGGTTATCTCATTCTTGGTGACCTCTTGGGATCCGGCCTCTACGCTCAGGACTTCCGTCAATACCAAAGTCGTGGCTGTGACTGTGAGGAGGTCTTTGCTAGACTCTTCTCTACCACAGGTCATATCTCTCTCGTGATCTTCGCAAAGCCTGACAAGTACCGAAACGTCAGGCTTGTTCATCAAGTGAAGAAGCCATTCATCGGCTTTTACCGAAAGTTGCGACCTGACCTCGGTCAACTGCCATCCTGGCATAATCTCACGCCCACAAAGATTTGACCTCTGTTAGTCTCTTCTGTCTCCACACAGCTCGCACCAAACCACTGACCATTTACACTCATTCATATGATGGAAAGGCTTAATAAATTCTTTTGCTAAATATATAATATTTTAGGTCACAATATCCCTCAGCTGATTGATGACATCGGACTTGTCTCCTAAACTTCTTTCCACCCACATGGAGCCTCGACGTCGCCGCAGGTCCCTCACTGAGGCTCCTTCCCAATGAGGTTCTGGATCAGCTTCGTCCCTTCGAGTATGATGCGGGTCGCGTTCACAAGGTACTCTCCCGCCACGAATTGTTGTCGACTCTCGCAAAGGTGCATCGCTCCACAAGCCCTCGTGCCTCTCTGTAGTTTCTGAGAAGTGTCGACCACACTGATGAACTACGCCGACTTCGAGTCACACGACCACTGTTTCTACTGATTGGGTCAACATTTATCTCTTGTGCTGTCATTGAAGATTAATGTCCTTTCAGCTTGGCAGGGAAAGTACTCACAGCAATCACTGGACTTGCTTTAAGGCAAAATGGTCACGTCACCTGTCACTGCACTTACTAGTCGTCTCGTTGATTGTCACAGGACTCTTCTTATTGTGGTTCACCGCACCAATATCACTGGATCGACTTAGCGACTAACGGGTCATGTCGGGACCGCTCCGGCCACCTGCTGGCGGCTGACTGTTCGCGTTATGTGCCAACGTCAGAGGGTCATCACTCCCCTACTTCAGACCGTGGGCGCCCTGCTAGGTCTTACTACAGCACTTTCTTTCCACATCTCCACCTTGTGCAAAGATTGTTAGCTGCTCGTCTCTTCGTTGGAAAGTACTCTTACTTCCTCTAGTAAGGTCCACTTGCCACACAGTCGCGATTCTTGTGAGAAATCCTGAAGTGCCGACGCCCACGTTTGCACTCGATCAAGTTGGCAGTCAGGGGCCCAGCTCGCCTATCCGACGTCCCGTATCAGGGCTCGTGGTGGTGTTCCTGCTGTTCATGGACTGTCACCTTGCAGCTCCAACCAATCATGTATTTAAAGATCATGTGTGCAATCATGTATTTCGTTGTATCCCATAATGCAGTGACCAGTGTCACCGCATTATGCGAGAACTCGCTCTTCGTCAACATCTCTATGCGCCATCTTGGCCAGCCTCTTTCAACGCCTTAAAACCAAATTTAAACTAAAATTGTGCCTCTCGCACTTTTCCCTCATAACTCAAAACATTCCCTGGACCGTCTAGCATCTCATTAGGGAGGTAAAAATGACTCTTGATGTAGGAAAGTCCTGAACCAGATGGGGATGAGAACTAAATAAACAAACGTTCCAGGTAATACACATTGCAAAAAAGAAACACAAACCCTTTGACAACCATTTTATATAATATGCAGATATAGTGGTTGAAAAGTGGTGGGCTCCACCAGGCATACCACCCCTTCAGGTCCACTCTGCCCACCCCTTCCCCCACCAGGTCCACCCTGCCCAGATTTACTCCCAGCCCCCCTCTCCCCAAATACCAAAACACCCCTCCTAGTTCACCCCCCCCCTACTCCATACCCACTTTAAAAAATCCCAATTTATTATATTTTCCGGAAGTCCAAAAATACCAACAGCTTCATTTCACCGGCGGGTCTAAATTTGACATTCCAAACATGGGAGCAGCGAGCGGGCTTTAGCTCGCCTCTGATGCAATAAATCTAATACAAATATTAAGTTAAGATTTAAATGTTACATGTCTGTGGGCGCATGTTTCCTGACAGGCATCATATTGCTGGGTGTGTGTGTACTCGCCTAGCTGTGCTTGCAGGGTCCAGCTCCTGCTCTTAAGCCCCGCCTGGCGACAAACATTGATTTAATGCAGTGACTCTTTTTTACACTCGTTTTTCTTATATTTACATTTATATAAGGCCACCCTTGCTATAGCAGTGGCCTCTGTGTAGGAGGCTAGTGCATGTATTGATGATAATATATTATTGACGATGATATAATGTGACCATATACGGTGCTATAGTGTGTATTAATGACCATATACAGTGCTATAGTGAGTATTAATGACCATATACGGTGCTATAGTGTCTATTAATGATCATATACAGTGTTATAGTGTGTATTAATGACCATATACAGTGCTATAGTGAGTATTAATGACCATATACGGTGCTATAGTGTGTATTAATGACCATATACAGTGCTATAGTGTGTATTAATGACCATATACAGTGCTATAGTGTGTATTAATGACCATATACAGTGCTATAGTGAGTATTAATGACCATATACGGTGCTATAGTGTCTATTAATGATCATATACAGTGTTATAGTGTGTATTAATGACCATATATGGTGCTATAGTGAGTATTAATGACCATATACGGTGCTATAGTGTGTATTACTGACCATATACCGTGCTATAGTGTGTATTAATGACCACATACTGTGCTATAGTGTGTATTAATAATCATATTCCGTGCTAGTGTATTAATGACCATATACAGAGCTATAGTGTGTATTACCATATACACTGATATAATGTGTAATAATGACCATATATCGTGTATAGTGTGTATTAATGACCATATACAGTGCTATAGTGTGTATTAATGACCATATACAGTGCTATAGTGTGTATTAATGACCATATACAGTGCTATAGTGTGTATTAATGACCATATACAGTGCTATAGTGTGTATTAATGACCATATACCGTGCTATAGTGTGTATTAATGACCATATACAGTGCTATAGTGTGTATTAATGACCATATGCCGTGCTATAGTGTGTATTAATGACCATATACCGTGCTATAGTGTGTATTAATGACCATATACCGTGTATAGTGTGTATTAATGACCATATACAGTGCTATAGTGTGTATTAATGACCATATACAGTGCTATAGTGTGTATTAATGACCATATACCGTGCTATAGTGTGTATTAATGACCATATACCGTGCTATAGTGTGTATTAATGACCATATACAGTGCTATAGTGTGTATTAATGACCATATACCGTGCTATAGTGTGTATTAATGACCATATACCGTGCTATAGTGTGTATTAATGACCATATACCGTGCTATAGTGTGTATTAATGACCATATACCGTGCTATAGTGTGTATTAATGACCATATACCGTGCTATAGTGTGTATTAATGACCATATACAGTGTTATAGTGTATATTAATGACCATATACCGTGCTATAGTGTGTATTAATGACCATATACAGTGCTATAGTGTGTATTAATGACCATATACAGTGCTATAGTGTGTAATAATGAACCCGAGGACACAAGTTGTGTATCGAATTGGTTTCGACAATTTCCTCATCTTGTCCGTTCCTCTTATTTACGACTCTGAGACTGAGACAGTTCTTTCTGACATCTCTGTGGTTCACCTGTGTTTCCAATATCCAATTATGTTCTCTCAGACTTTTTTTTCGGACGTTTTACTGTTCCTTATTTTGAACATTGCTTTTATATCTACCTTGTCAATTGCCCTTAGTACCTTGTACGTTGTTATCATGTCCTCCCTATTCCGTATTTTGTCCAGTACAGTGACGTTCAGTTTCCTTAGTCTTACTTAATAGCTCAGGAACGAGCCTTAATGCATATTTATTTACCTTTTTTAATTTTGTTTTGTGCTTCAGCAGGCGGGGGTTTCCTGCCGGGGCCAAAAGTGGGATAAGGCCAAAAGTCAAAGCCTTAGGAAAATTGAGGAGATTCCGAAGCCTTGATACAAACATACAGATTCTTCTATATAAGGCTCTAGTCCAGCTGCATCTACAGTATCCCCCAGTACCACTACACACCTTAAAGAAAATTAACATGCAAAAACTATAAGCAGTGCAAAATAAGGCGCTAAGGAGAGCAGCGAAACACCGTCCACCACATGACCAGACAGTCCAGGAGCTCCATGAACTCCTGAACATACAGCCACTAAACATCAGACTACAACACCAAGTTATCAGGGTGTGGAACACTATCGAAATGTTGGAGGACCCAATGTTAGAACCATTACTCCAAGATGAGACACCCTGCTCCCACAGCTGGTGGCCTAAGAGCCTCGATTCACTAGATGAAAACCCCGCCCCACAGTACATAATTCCCAGATGAAATACTGACCAGAAATCCCTCCCCAAATAATTTAATAAAAGAAAAAAATGTGAATATATATATATATATATATATATATATATATATATATATATATATATATATATATATATATATATATATTTTGGTAGCAGTCTTTCCTGTAGACATATATTATTAAATATGACCGAAAAAGTAAGATTAATAATTCTAACACGAATTTTCTCAATCTTTCGTACATTACGCTTCACTGTTGGAGGTAAATCAAAAATCACTTCTCCAAAATTCATTTTTATTTCTAGTCTGACGCGACACGGGCGCGTTTCGTAAAACTTATTACATTTTCAAAGACTTCACAAATACACAACTGATTAGAACTTGCGTTTCTCTGATTTTATATCTACATTTGAGTGAGGTGGGAAGGGTGATGTGGCATTAACACAAGACAGAACAATAGGGGATATTAATAGGGTATTAAAAGTATCAACACAAGACAGAACAGAAACAATGGGTATTGAATAGAAGTGTTTGTAGAAAGCCTATTGGTCCATATTTCTTGATGCTTCTATATTGGAGCGGAGTCTTGAGGTGGGTAGAATATAGTTGTGCAATAATTGGCTGTTGATTGCTGGTGTTGACTTCTTGATGTGTAGTGCCTCGCAAACGTCAAGCCGCCTGCTATCGCTGTATCTATCGATGATTTCTGTGTTGTTTACTAGGATTTCTCTGGCGATGGTTTGGTTATGGGAAGAGATTATATGTTCCTTAATGGAGCCCTGTTGCTTATGCATCGTTAAACGCCTAGAAAGAGATGTTGTTGTCTTGCCTATATACTGGGTTTTTTGGAGCTTACAGTCCCCAAGTGGGCATTTGAAGGCATAGACGACGTTAGTCTCTTTTAAAGCGTTCTGTTTTGTGTCTGGAGAGTTTCTCATGAGTAGGCTGGCCGTTTTTCTGGTTTTATAGTAAATCGTCAGTTGTATCCTCTGATTTTTGTCTGTAGGGATAACGTTTCTATTAACAATATCTTTCAGGACCCTTTCCTCCGTTTTATGAGCTGTGGAAAAGAAGTTCCTGTAAAATAGTCTAATAGGGGGTATAGGTGTTGTGTTAGTTGTCTCTTCGGAGTTTGCATGGCTTTTCACTTTCCTTCTTATGATGTCTTTGATGAAACCATTGGAGAAGCCGTTATTGACTAGGACCTGCCTTACCCTACAGAGTTCTACGTCGACTTGCTTCCATTCTGAGCTGTGGCTGAGAGCACGGTC